GGTTGTGTTTGCGGAACGATGTATGTTAAAAGCACACGTCCAGTTTTGTGTGAGTGTAGGAAATCCGCTTGGGAGTGGAGAGATTCGTCCTCGCGCACATGGATCGCGTAACATTATAAGCTCTCGACATTGTCATTAAGATCACACTGTAGAAACCGCCTAAAATTAGAAATTTACTAAAAACAAGCCTATGGCAAGACATTTGGTAGGGGAGGCACCTGGGGTGGCCAGCCAGATTTCAGGGGGGGCCGGTGCCACCCCTGGCCACCACGTAGACACGCCCCTGCATGTATTTGATTGTATGTTAGTGAGTTGACATGATTTGCAACACTGATCATCAGACTAAACTGTAGAAAAAATATTGTTACATTACATTTACATGTACATTTAGTCATTTAGCAGACGCTTTTATCCAAATGATTACAAATGTCTGTTGATCTGCTTATTCCAACCTAACACAAGGGCCTGTGCAGTATTCCAGTAATCAGCCTGACATCATTACGTTTGTATACTGTATTGTCAGGTGGAGAGACCACCGGTGCAGGCAGACAGCCCCAAGAAACCAGACACGCAGCTTCCCTCAGATCCAGAGAAAACGGCCAGCAGTAATTCCCTCAGTGCCACAAACTCAGACATGGAGGAGGCTGGACAACAAGGTAGACATTTCATTTAGCAGATTCAAACAAATACTGTTTTTCTAAAATGCATGACCTTTTTAAGTGCCAGGGTTTCAAGTTTTGAAAGATTGGAAACCTGCATTGTTATGAACAAGGGAGCGTCATTATGCATTAGTGATAAGAGATAAGATATGGAATTTCCTGTTTGTGAACTTTACCATTGAAACTTTGTGTAATCAAGGTGCAGCATAGTAATGCCTCACCATTCCAACGATTACACACAAACACTGTTTCAGCTAGTCATAAATAACTTAATACTTAACATTTGATAATTTTTCATCAGACACGAGGACTCTGGAGGAACCGGAGGAGCCCAAGCTCACATGTGAACTCTGTGGATGGGTCGATTTTGCCTACAAGTTCAAACGTTCAAAACGCTTCTGTTCCATGGTCTGTGCTAAAAGGTTAGAGATTCAAAAGCATTTTATAAATGAAAATATATAGACCAATTTCGGTGGTGTTTGTAAACAGTGATGACGTTTTTGGTGGGCGGAGCCTATCTGGTGGCAGAAAATGACAGTTTTAAAGTAGCGGTCTTGCCCTTTGAATGTAATGTGTACGTTCCCTTGGAACTGGAATCATGGCGGAATATCATGTGAAGTCCACTTTGCAGGGCACTTACGGTCGAATAAGACAACGCTTGAATGCTGCCTGAACAAGAGACCTTTGAAGGGAAAGTGTTGACTGGTGTCACTATCTTGCGAACGCACCGGCGGATCTCCACCAAATAAGGGGGATCCCTTCAGCTCGAGAAGCCCTCTCGAACGCCAGCAGTTGCTGCGTTATTCATTCAAAATATTAGAGAAATATTGCAGCTCAATGCGTAGAAGATCTTGAATGGGTTAAAACCGAAACCAAGCCATTCACACAGAACAGCATTTTTTAGACAGACAAATATGACTGCTGCTCTCACGTCTCACACGAGATGTATAGAAAGCCATGCAAAGTTAAAACAGTTTAAACAAAACGCGTCACGAATTTGTGGAGGTTTAGTCCGTTTCACTGCATCTCATATGTTTTTAAATGCAATCTGTGTGATGGGCGATTCGGCTCTTTGTATTAAGCAATGCATAAATACATGATGCTGTTTTGTTCATTATTGTTTATGCAATTTATGAAATTATGTTTGATTTATACGAGTTAATTTAGACGTAATGCACGTTTTTCTTTTTATAGACGGTTATTTCCTGTGCATTGGCAATTTAATGCGCTGCATTATTTTGCTCATTGCGCCCTCCTGTGGCTTCGGGAGACAAGCCAAATGTTTCCTTCAGACCTATTTAATCTGCATATAAAACATTAGAAATTAGATACTTGTTTAATTTTTATTTTGTGTTTGACTGTTAAAACAAAAAAATATTTGTTGTTTGTCTCAATAAATTGGGTTAATTTAAAAATACAGTGGTTCAATTTAAACGTTTTTTTCTATTGCTCTTTGTTTTAAAAAAGGTTATAAAAAATGTCAATAATTATCGATACCGAACGATATGAAACATTATATCGTTGATACATTTTTTAGCTATATTGCCCAGCCCTAATACACACTTATTCATTCAGCTGCTACCAAACTGATAACTAATAATATATTTCTGTGATGTGCAACATTTTGATCTGTCTTGTAATGTATAACCCTCTTGAACAGATACAGTGTAAGTTGCACGAAGCGGGTTGGTCTGTTCCACCCCAACAGAACTAAAACAACCAATCAGATAAATCAGTGGAGAAGGAGGAGGTCTCATAGTCCCAGAGGCAGGGAGGCCAAAAAGCAGGTGAACAGCTACTTCAGTACAATTTGGTAGTGGTTCATCCCACAATGTTTTTGTATAAATATATAAAGTAAATCATCCTCATATAGTCTCTTGTTTTATCCCACAGCGGCTCTCTGTGCCTCAGCAATCTCAGGGAGAATCTATATCCTCACCGCTCCAATCTCAGCCTAGTCAAGGAGAGTCCAGCCCCTGCTCGGATATCTCCAGCTATGAGGAAGCAACTTCCCCGCTCTCTGCAGCCAGTTCTGGCCCAATCGTTTCTCAAGGTGGGCTCGCTGCTAACGATCCCGAAGAGCTTCCTCTCCTCAGTCAGCACTTCCTGCCAATTGACCCCACCAAATGGAATGTGCATGAGGTGTTTGAGTTCATTCGCTCTTTGCCAGGTAAGTCGCTCATGTAATTTGGGTATATGTATATTTTGTACTATATTCCAAGTGCTCTAAAGACATTACTATTCAAAAGTTTGGGCTCAGTATGATTTTTCTTTAGGAAATTAATGCTTTTTTTCAAAAAGGATAGATTCAATTTATTAAAAGTGACAGTAAAAAAAGAAAATTAGTTTCAAATAAATGCTGTTGTTTGGGCCTTTGTTCATCAAAGAAAAAATGAAAAAATAAAATAAAATAAAATAAATTAAGCAGCACAATTGTTTTTAACATAATGATAGGAAATGTTTCTTGAGCAGCAAATCAGCATATTAGAATGATTTCTGAAGGATCATGTGACACTGAAGACTGGAGTAATGATGCTGAAAATTCAGCTTTGCATCACAGGAATAAATTACATTTTAAAATATATTAACATAGAAAATAGTTATTTTAAACTGTAATAATATTTCACAATATTGCTGTTTTTACTGTATTTTTAATCAAATAAATGCAGCCCTGGTGAGCATGAGAGACTTTTTTTTTTTTTGTCTTTAGAACAGTAGTGTATATACACATGCATGCACTTGATATGATATTCTGTCATTAAATATTACAATATAATATAAGGATGGGATAAAAAAGATAAATGGAAAGTTATGATGAAAGTCAGGTTTTCTACAACAATAAATGACTTCAAATTTATTTAAAAATATGCTGTTTAATGGTGCAAATTTTTGTGACTTCACAATTAGGTTGCCAGGAGATTGCAGATGAGTTTCGTGCTCAGGAGATTGATGGACAGGCCATGCTGCTACTGAAGGAAGATCACCTAATGAGTGCCATGAATATTAAATTAGGACCCGCCCTCAAAATCTTCGCTCGCATAAACATGCTGAAAGATTCCAAGCCTTGAAAAGGCAGCAAGTGTGTGTGTGTGTGTGTGTGTGTATATGTGTTCTCTGATGTCACTGGCCTTGACCTAGTGACTACAGCACCCCAACTGCACTACAACATTTTTTTTTAATAATTAATATCTAAAAACTTTACACATATTGGGGCTAAAGCCCAAAACTGCACCTCCTCAAGAAAAGAACTGAAATAAATTCAGCTAGAACAAAAAATGACCCGACTACCTATGAAAAATCGCACAATAGTGACTTATACCAAATGGAAGGCATTATGAATCAGTGATTTGGAATTCTGACTGGGACTCTTAACTTAACTAGTAGTATCGGTGCTCAGAAGAAATCTTTGGGCAATGTATGTAACACAACAGTGCTGTCCAAACAGAACTAATATTATCATGTGGTTTTACAATCCCACATCTTGGCCCAGATGTCTCTGGATTGTACATTTGTTGTTTTCAGGTATCATTTTGTCTTATTGTACATGTCAGATGCTTTTGTACAGTACAAATATGTTTAAGTAAATTATTCTTACCTTTGTGTGTGAGTATTTGTAACAGTTGAATCACAACAAACTGGTGCTATTTCACTATCACATTTACTTTGAGAAGCCTTGAATAACAGAAGCACAGTAACAGAATATTCAACTTTAAACCTGAAGACCGATAAGAAGGGATCCAGTCTGAAAAATTCCAGTCAACAGCGCCTTATTCAATATGTGTCCGTACAGACGCTCTGGTTTTGAGATGCACATTACATTGTATTTGTCTTGGATATTGGGAATGATGCTATGTTTAGTTTTAATTGTGCCCTGATTTGTCATTGTATGTTGCTAGAAAGGATTGTGATGATGAATTGTTTTTTGTACAATGCTTTGCGAAATGCCTGTATTTATCAGATGAATGAAATTTGTAATATAACATTTTTAATTAAGTATTTTTGTGTCAACATGTTTAATTTGTTGACCCTATATCACATTTTCCTCACACGGCTTAATTTATTGTTTTATTTATTCAACTCTTAATTTTTCATTTCATAGATTAGATAAAATACCCAACCAAGTTTAAAAATAAATATATCGTTTTGCAATATAAAACCTAACACACTTATTTTTGTGAAATATTCTGCTTTATTTTTCTTTAAATGGAATGCCACCCAGTTGGATATTTTAAAGGCATTTATCTACAGTAGTCAACATCTGAAGTGGATCACAAAAGTTCATCAAAGTTGTCCTGAGACAAGAACGCATTTTGGTTTTAGAACAACTTTTGATCCACTTCAAATGTTGACTACTGTACTTTAAAACTGACATGAATGTCCAAATACTTTTTGGGGCTGCTCTTATTTTGTGTGCTTGAGAATTACAATAGGACACCACTAGGTGGCACACGTGCATTTCGTCAAATTTAACTAACCGTCTACATATTTTCAACATTTAGGATGAGTTTTAGAGTGGTTATTTATCGAACTCGACCCTGATACCATAAAAACGTTGTTTTCACAGAAACCCGTCCAAATATGTCGTGATTGAGACCTGTTGGTAGTTCATGAGTGCTTTACAAGCTCACCGCTGCACAAAGAATCCCATTTTATAAACTTTTCCTGTTACGTCCCGCCTCCTGTCCCTGCGTCTCGTTTCTAATTGGTCTATTGAGCCAAAACGCGTACACGCTATTGGCTACGTAAGATGTCTGTTTGCGTTCCTTCACACAGATGAACTTCGGTTAAGCCGATCTTCAACAACTGTGCAGCTCGATGAGCGACATTGGAAACTGATCAAACCTGGCATGGCACCCACAACGGTGAGAACGTTGTCTTTATAACAAATCGCTTAATACTTATAAAGAAAGAAAGGTGAAGAAAATGAGCACGAGAGCAGAGAAAGTATTTTTCCTAGGATTATTGTATGAATAGTTCGAATACTTCATGCTAATTAGTTTTAAATAGCCAACAGTTCTGACAGCAGTGTTTGTTATATGGAAAAGAAAAAAAGAAAACTTCAAATAGTCGAGACATCGCTTTTTAAAGTAAACAGTCTTGTTTTACTGCTTTTTGCTTGTGAGGTCTGCATAAATGTAAAATTTTTCCAGATAGCCAGATGCTGTGTCTCGAAACGTAGTGTGCTGTCTACCTAGGTAGCATTTTTGCTTCAATAGGCGTTCATCACTTTTGGGCATCATTCATATTATATATATGTAATATATGTATTACATATATGTATTAAACTCAAATGAGCCCAAAAACGCTGCACGCATATGATGCCCAAAACTGCAGTCCAAATAGGCAGTACATTAGGTTTGGATGCATAACATCACAGAGTCAGCGAAAGAAAAGGAACTTTTGATCACATTATATATTGTATTATATAATTTTATAATATATTATAACTAAATTAGATCTCAGAAAATGATCTCGTAATTTTTTCGTTACATTTTCAAAATCCTATTTGGAAAAAAAAATATTATTTTTTTTATTTCTTTGAACCTGAAAAAATAAATAGGATTTTGAAATATGTACAACAATAAAACAAAATCTATGAGAATATTATTTTTAACTGCTTAAATGTTTAAAACAGTGAAATATATTACACTTTATGGAGTCTGTACAGCTGATCACATCAACAGGCAGTTGACATTGGGCCATCTGTTTTGTAGCTCACAAGCAGCTTGAGGATTAAATTAATTACCCTCTGACATGTCTGGTGAGCTTGGACTCAAACACTGACTGCTTCAGTCTAGCTCCAGGGAGAAATGCTGGGTAATTTAAGAAGCATTCAGGCCGATGTTGAATAGTGTAGCACCCTTTAATTCAGAAAGGCATGGGCACCATTAAAAAGGAAATGCGAAATTAGTCAACCATGAAGAACACCATCGGCTAATCCTCAAGTGCACATTAAAGAAAAGTTTTGTAGATGTATAATGATCTCTGAGACTCTTTTTATCACCTTTCCTATAATGTTTCATTCTAAATCACAAGTTTTAGTAAAGAGACACACGCTTAGGCCTGTTGCAATAATCAATATATAATCAAATAAATGCAGCCCTGGTGAGCATGAGAGACTTTTTTTTTTTTTGTCTTTAGAACAGTAGTGTATATACACATGCATGCACTTGATATGATATTCTGTCATTAAATATTACAATATAATATAAGGATGGGATAAAAAAGATAAATGGAAAGTTATGATGAAAGTCAGGTTTTCTACAACAATAAATGACTTCAAATTTATTTAAAAATATGCTGTTTAATGGTGCAAATTTTTGTGACTTCACAATTAGGTTGCCAGGAGATTGCAGATGAGTTTCGTGCTCAGGAGATTGATGGACAGGCCATGCTGCTACTGAAGGAAGATCACCTAATGAGTGCCATGAATATTAAATTAGGACCCGCCCTCAAAATCTTCGCTCGCATAAACATGCTGAAAGATTCCAAGCCTTGAAAAGGCAGCAAGTGTGTGTGTGTGTGTGTGTGTGTATATGTGTTCTCTGATGTCACTGGCCTTGACCTAGTGACTACAGCACCCCAACTGCACTACAACATTTTTTTTTAATAATTAATATCTAAAAACTTTACACATATTGGGGCTAAAGCCCAAAACTGCACCTCCTCAAGAAAAGAACTGAAATAAATTCAGCTAGAACAAAAAATGACCCGACTACCTATGAAAAATCGCACAATAGTGACTTATACCAAATGGAAGGCATTATGAATCAGTGATTTGGAATTCTGACTGGGACTCTTAACTTAACTAGTAGTATCGGTGCTCAGAAGAAATCTTTGGGCAATGTATGTAACACAACAGTGCTGTCCAAACAGAACTAATATTATCATGTGGTTTTACAATCCCACATCTTGGCCCAGATGTCTCTGGATTGTACATTTGTTGTTTTCAGGTATCATTTTGTCTTATTGTACATGTCAGATGCTTTTGTACAGTACAAATATGTTTAAGTAAATTATTCTTACCTTTGTGTGTGAGTATTTGTAACAGTTGAATCACAACAAACTGGTGCTATTTCACTATCACATTTACTTTGAGAAGCCTTGAATAACAGAAGCACAGTAACAGAATATTCAACTTTAAACCTGAAGACCGATAAGAAGGGATCCAGTCTGAAAAATTCCAGTCAACAGCGCCTTATTCAATATGTGTCCGTACAGACGCTCTGGTTTTGAGATGCACATTACATTGTATTTGTCTTGGATATTGGGAATGATGCTATGTTTAGTTTTAATTGTGCCCTGATTTGTCATTGTATGTTGCTAGAAAGGATTGTGATGATGAATTGTTTTTTGTACAATGCTTTGCGAAATGCCTGTATTTATCAGATGAATGAAATTTGTAATATAACATTTTTAATTAAGTATTTTTGTGTCAACATGTTTAATTTGTTGACCCTATATCACATTTTCCTCACACGGCTTAATTTATTGTTTTATTTATTCAACTCTTAATTTTTCATTTCATAGATTAGATAAAATACCCAACCAAGTTTAAAAATAAATATATCGTTTTGCAATATAAAACCTAACACACTTATTTTTGTGAAATATTCTGCTTTATTTTTCTTTAAATGGAATGCCACCCAGTTGGATATTTTAAAGGCATTTATCTACAGTAGTCAACATCTGAAGTGGATCACAAAAGTTCATCAAAGTTGTCCTGAGACAAGAACGCATTTTGGTTTTAGAACAACTTTTGATCCACTTCAAATGTTGACTACTGTACTTTAAAACTGACATGAATGTCCAAATACTTTTTGGGGCTGCTCTTATTTTGTGTGCTTGAGAATTACAATAGGACACCACTAGGTGGCACACGTGCATTTCGTCAAATTTAACTAACCGTCTACATATTTTCAACATTTAGGATGAGTTTTAGAGTGGTTATTTATCGAACTCGACCCTGATACCATAAAAACGTTGTTTTCACAGAAACCCGTCCAAATATGTCGTGATTGAGACCTGTTGGTAGTTCATGAGTGCTTTACAAGCTCACCGCTGCACAAAGAATCCCATTTTATAAACTTTTCCTGTTACGTCCCGCCTCCTGTCCCTGCGTCTCGTTTCTAATTGGTCTATTGAGCCAAAACGCGTACACGCTATTGGCTACGTAAGATGTCTGTTTGCGTTCCTTCACACAGATGAACTTCGGTTAAGCCGATCTTCAACAACTGTGCAGCTCGATGAGCGACATTGGAAACTGATCAAACCTGGCATGGCACCCACAACGGTGAGAACGTTGTCTTTATAACAAATCGCTTAATACTTATAAAGAAAGAAAGGTGAAGAAAATGAGCACGAGAGCAGAGAAAGTATTTTTCCTAGGATTATTGTATGAATAGTTCGAATACTTCATGCTAATTAGTTTTAAATAGCCAACAGTTCTGACAGCAGTGTTTGTTATATGGAAAAGAAAAAAAGAAAACTTCAAATAGTCGAGACATCGCTTTTTAAAGTAAACAGTCTTGTTTTACTGCTTTTTGCTTGTGAGGTCTGCATAAATGTAAAATTTTTCCAGATAGCCAGATGCTGTGTCTCGAAACGTAGTGTGCTGTCTACCTAGGTAGCATTTTTGCTTCAATAGGCGTTCATCACTTTTGGGCATCATTCATATTATATATATGTAATATATGTATTACATATATGTATTAAACTCAAATGAGCCCAAAAACGCTGCACGCATATGATGCCCAAAACTGCAGTCCAAATAGGCAGTACATTAGGTTTGGATGCATAACATCACAGAGTCAGCGAAAGAAAAGGAACTTTTGATCACATTATATATTGTATTATATAATTTTATAATATATTATAACTAAATTAGATCTCAGAAAATGATCTCGTAATTTTTTCGTTACATTTTCAAAATCCTATTTGGAAAAAAAAATATTATTTTTTTTATTTCTTTGAACCTGAAAAAATAAATAGGATTT